AACTTCGCGAAGCTTCCCTAGAAGCACGACTGGACGATCAACAGTGTCTATCTCGTTCTCCTTAGATGACTGCTACGAGGCCGTCTCCTCTACGTTGGTAGACGTGGCGGGTACGGGAACCTCCACACCAGCTAGCGACCCGCTATCTACTGGCGGTTTCCGTTTCCTTGCTGTTGCTCCTTGATCTGTAGGCAGTCCCGTTTCATGTGACCCGGCTTTTTGAAGTAGTGTCAGTTCCCCCTAAATCCCGTTCGCTGTGAGCCGTGACTGTTAACTGCACCAATCTCCATGGGCGACGGTCCGTCCCTCGATCGAGCGTCGTTGATCGTTCTGATGTATCCCCTATCGCGATTGAAAACCCGGTCGGCTTCGTACTGCAACGACGCGTTCTGCTGCTGCGACAACTGACTCGAAGGTGGACAACCCGTGAATTGCTATAACCTCCGCTATGTCCGGCTTCAACCCTTCGAGGTAGCGATCGCGCATCTCTGCTTCCGTGATGTCGTCTATCTCGTTGCAGATGCTCAAGAACCGTCGTGTGTACTCCTGGACGTTTCCTATCTGTCGGAAATGACGCAGACGCTTCCTAGCAGCTTCGGAGGCGTTCACCAAATCGAACCTACTTTTCAGCGCCGCTTCAAATCCTTCCCATGTCGTCGGAACCGTGGTAACACCCAAAGCTAAACTCCCTAAGCTCGAAGTTGCAGCTGCATGCCCCACGCCCTGTTGATGCCCGTCTAACTGAGCCCTCCGTACAGCAGTCTGCGTAAGTTGGCGCCACCACTCCAAGGCCGGGCCCCTCAGCAGCGTTACGGCGTACTCGATCCGCTGCTGCGCGTCCGCCTCTTGCACCCCACTCGCAGCGAAGTAATTGTTGAGCATGAAGAGCCACGTCCGCACGTTCGCGTCGCGTTGACTTGGGTCGAACGACTCCGCTGGGTCTTTGCGGCTTGAGTGCGCTTCGACGTCCTGGCAGCGCTTCTGCGCCAGTTGACGTGGTGGGTGCAGGAGTTGGTGCGGCATGACCATGGGGGTTAGAAGCCAAATTGCGAAGTTGTTGCATTTCGGCTCGTACCTGACGATTTTCCAACGTCAATTCTTCGAGTTGACGCATGAGCTCGGCAAGCGTGTTGCCCATGTCGTGGGGGAGAGCGTGCATGGTTTCGTCCATGTTGGCTCAACGACTCCAAGTCTGCAAGTCGGCACCGCGGGACGATGACGTCGTAGTCTCGTCGTCGACGGTCGCTCGTTGGAAGTCGCTCCCCGCGAAGGCTCTGATACCAAGTGTTAGGCCCGCTGGCCTAAGTCCGCTAAAGAATTAGCGGGGTCGACTAAGTCGAGGATAAAATGCGGCGGAAGACTTTGGCGAAAAGACTATTGGCGAAATAGGCGAAGAAGTTACTGAGTAATTGAAGAGTTGAATGAGAATTGGTTGATAATGGCAAGTACAAGCAAGGTTTAAGTAGCATGCAAGAGCGATTGTTGGAAAGCAGTTTGTGAGACAAGGAAATGGAATCCTAGAAAAGTAGAGTGCCACGTGGCGGTTGGGAAACATAGGAAATCCTTGGTGGATTGGATGAAGATAGGGTTGGGATAAGGTTGGGGGTCTGTTTAGGGTAAACTACCCTTGAACAGGAAAGTACCCCGTAACATTTTTCGTAAACACAGAGCCATACTGTATGAGCACAACATGTGTCCAGGGCCAATACTTGGTTTTTGTGGCAGGATGACGCATGGAAAAGAGTTGACAAGGGCAAAACGGAGCGTCGCACGTTTGTCAGATCAGATATATTTTCAGTTTATAGGCCGCAACCTCTGGTTGTGGAGTTCTTTAGTTACATGAGTGGTTCCCCAGGGTCTCTTTAAATTAAATTTGCCACATATATACATATCAGCCCCAATGATATTCCAGAGTATTCAAGTGTACGCCCCATCCCCAAAAATGGCCGGAAGACCATAAGCCCCTAGGGGCCCCTATCTGGGGGAGTACGGTACAATGTACTGATTTCATAGCCATTCACCATGCAATTATAAAACCAATGCTTCTGGAAGGATGCGGCCATGCCCATGGCTACCAGATCAAGCCACCAATCCCCAAACATCACCCACAGACACAACCTCAGTGTGGCAAGCCAACTCTCCATTGCCTCATATACGGTACGGCTACCACCACTCAAACCATTCGCCTTTGAACATACCGTATTTTTCTGGATAAAACACCCTAGGGTGTTATGATAACCACTGGGAAAAAATGGGGGGGGTCTCCTCAACGGAAAATCCTAGGTACATAATATCCGGGTCTTATTATATGGTATATTTTTTTATAAAGCAGAAAAGATGTGAAACAAAATCAGGGGTCTGACTTCACTTCCAAATTGTTGATCAGTGCCGCAAAACCGAGTATACGAGGATAACGTGACCGCCCACTGGACTCTGCCACATGGCAACTTCCAGTGGGCAACTCTGGCACCTGATAGGGTGAAAACAAAGGCAACCTTGCGTAGCGAGGGTTCATGCAACCGCCGAGGCCGGAATCGCGCACGGTGCTGCGTTGTCACCATACCAGTCACGTCTTGACTGGTTTGGTCACGTCCCTGTGCCTCAAATGAGTCTCACCTTCTCTTTGTGCAGCAGTTCCAGTGCAGGATATTGAATAGTGCTCGGCAGGCTGTGAGAGCGCCTCCGTCCTGCACTCTAGCTTCTTTGTTTATAGGCATTTCAGCTATGGCGAGTGACACTAATTTGCAGTAGACTAGAATGGCTTCCTCACCCGATTCTAGCAGTACGGTAGTTAAGCTGCAACGGCCTTCTAACTCTCAGTCTGCCACTACTGCATGCGCACGGACATCGCCTCACCCCGTCTTGCCCCAGCCGTCTCCTCTCGGTAGTGCTTCTACCAAGGATGAACTGAGCAGTAGCTCCAAAGCTCCTCGCCCTCCCCTTGCACGAGTGGCTGTCCCCACCTTCCCGGAGAGTAAGCGCCTACAGGGACAGCCGAAGCGCAACACGGATGGTGAGACACCATCCCCTTGCCATCGCATGACGAAGAAAGTGCATCATGCGATCACTGTGAAGGAGAAGCTCCACTGGAAGAAGATGCAAGACTCTCAGCCCGACCTAGGGAATCGCGCCCTGGCGAAGCTCGCGAAGGTACAGCCATGCCTGATCCGCGACTGGAAGAAGCTAAGGGAGCGGCTGGAGGTCGCATCTACCCGTGCATGGAACAGGCAGTCTACCGCCATTTCTTTAACCACCGGCAAAGGGCCTCGACGTTTCGGTCCGCATGCTCCAGCAGTGGAGCTCCAAGTGCATGAAGCACCGGATGCCGTTTTTGGCGCGCTTCGTTCCGCTGGGTGACGCGTTTCCGCTCGCGCTGGCACTTGGCGAGGCGGGTGAAGACGAAGATGGGGCAGAGGTTGGCAGCTGGTAAGTTATTCATGAATTCCGCTTGTGTTTACGACCACGACGTTGATCTAATGCGTGCTGTGGCATTGTTTGCAGATTGCAAGACGAAGGTGGAGGCGTTTTGGGAGTTTGTGCACCAGATGCTCACTGTGCACGACTACCCACTCGACCTCATCGTGAACGCGGACCAGACTCCGCTCTTCTTGGAGATGCCGGTGGAGCGCACGATTAAAATGAAGGGAGCGCGTACAGTTCACGTACGCAGTGTAGGATATGAGAAGGAACGTGTTACTGTCATGCTGGCAGTAACGGCGGGTGGCCTCAAGCTTCCTGGATCACCTAGGTGCTGGTGCCGTTTCTTAGGCCCCTGCAGGAAACCACCGGACGCCGTAGGGGGGCCTTGGTGGTGCTCAACTCCTACCGCGGCCACTTGACAGAGGCCGTTGGTTAGACGATGCGCATGTTCAGGTTATCAAGGGCGGTGATCCCAGGGGGCTGCACACCGCTTGTGTAGCCTCTGGATGTGTCGGTGAACTGCGCGTTCAAGTGCGGGGTGCGTTCCCGCTACAGCACATGGTTCGAAGAAGATGGCATCAACCTAACCACTCACGCAGGTGAGTTGAAGCCATGGAAACCGTTTGCGCAACTTTCGTTTTAATGACATCACACGCTTCGTAGATACACACTCGTGATTCTAAAGCCCTTCCCTTCCCACATGTAACCTGAAGAAGCCGCCTGCAGACTTGGTTCTTCGCTGGATCAACGAATACTGGGAAGCTGTCCTAGGGGATCTTGTGAAGAAATCATTCGTCACCTGTAGGATCTCTGCCAGCATCGATGGCACTGAAGACCACCTCATCCTTGCCCACATGCAGGACAAGGGTGAGGTTGAGGTCCTTGACGACGTCAACGACCTGGTTGACGACGAGCTCGTCGTCAACCCCTTCTACGCCAAGGCCCCCGTGCCGGCCGAGGAGCTGCAGGCGGCAGAGGAGGATGACGCCGCAGTGGAGGCGGCAGCGGCGGCAGAGGAGGAGTGGAACACGCCTGAAGAAGGTGGGGAAGCGGGAGAGTGCAACGATGTCGATGATGATTGGTGGCGCCCCGGCTGCTATGACGGAGAAGAGTGTGAAGAGTGGCACACAGGGGACGATGAGGAGGAGGAGGAGTAGGCAGCACAAGGAGAAGCACCGTAGAGCAAAGAAAGAATTAGGAGGTGATGTTAGTGCTATTTCTAAGTAAATGTTGGGTCTAGGTGCTGTTTGTGATGCTTCAGTATTAGATTGTACCCCTAACTGTGTGAAATGTAAGAGGAATTTGCACTTTTGCCGCACATACCCCCCCCCCCGGGTCTTACAGAGAATCACCCCAAAAGGGGGGGTATAGTACAAACGAGGTTGGATATAACACCCACCCCGCACAAGCTACCCGGGGGGTGTACATTTTCGACGGGTGTTTTATCCGGGCTCACACGATCACACGGTCTTCCAATGGCCCACACACCACCACCCTGTCACAAGCTGCCCTTACCCGCAGCCAGGCTAGCAAGCACAGACAAGCCCGAACATACCCGCAGAAGCCTAAGCCCAGCAAGCCTAGTGAAGCACACGTATGTGCTGCCCTGTCTGCAGGCTGCCAAGTGCTTCTTCCAACGCCTCATGCACCACCCTGTCCTGCTCCTCGCTTGCCACCCCTCCCCACAGGTGGCGCACCATGGCCCCCTGCGGCCCTGTGAGCTCGCGGAACGGCACCATGAGCACCCTCCGCCGCCACGGCGGCCAGCGTGCCACCTCGTTGAGCCGGTGCTGCTCCCACACGTGGTTGAAGAGGTGGTAGTCGCCCTGCTGCTCGCTGTACCACTGCCTCAAGAACTGCGAAGAGGGGGCGAACGAGGGCAACAGCAGCGCAATGATTATCCACTGTGGCGGACGTGCCACCTGGTCAAGGTCTGCCGTGCCACCTGGTCAAGGTTTCACTCCTCCCACACGTGGTTGAATAGGCGGTAGTCGCCCCTCTGCACGCTGTACCACTGCTTCAGGAACTAGGAGAGCAGAGGGTGGGAAGGCACAGCATCAGTGCAATGAGGAACAATTGGGAAGGGAATGAAATACAAATACACCTGGAGTGAAGGCTTGGAATACCATCACATGCTTGTGGGAGGGCTTGGAAAGGTTCACTCCCCCACCTGGAAGCTGTCTGCCCACAGCATTGACAATGCTTCCCTTCCTAGGCAACGTCTTGGCGACCCAAACCCCACATCTGCCGGTGCGACACCAAGCCACTTCCGCCCAAAGCCACTCACGCCCAAGGTTCAAATGTAAAGTTTTCGTAAAATACGGTCCGTATTCACGGTCGTTGTTTGCAGCGATTTTCCAAACAAACGGCTGTTTTTTTGTTAGAGAACTTGGTTCACCCCCCAAAAAAAAAAGAGGAAAAAAAAGGTCAAATACATTTTCAATCATGCCAACAATCGCACACATGCAAGAAGGGGTACGTCCCCAAGCCACTCACGCCCCAAGCCACTCCAGTCCAAGCCACTCAATCCAAAGTCACTCAAGGTCTCACCTGGAAGCTGTCCGGCGACCAGCGCCAGAGCATGATGGCCGCATTTTTGTAGTCCGAGTCCCTTTGTAACAGCAGTTTCGCTTCCCCGTCGAACCCCACATGTGCTAGTCCGACCCCCCACTCTAACCCCCACCTTAAAGGTGTCGGACGATCTCCGCCACAGCATGACGCCTGCATTGATGTAGTCCGAGTCCCTCCGGAACACCATGCCCACATCCCCGTAAAAGCCATCCCTTGAGCCGCTGTTGCGTGGTATGAGAGCCACGGGCCCTCCTTCCGATTGTAGCGCGGTGGGCGGCTGTAGCAGCAGGGCGCGGTCCTGTGGGAGCCACACCTGCCCCTCCAGCGAGTCGGTGAGGTTGTCCCTCAGCAGCCAGGAGAAGTAGTTTTGCGGGAGGAAGGGGCAGAGGCAAGAGGGATACCCACCAGGGTTGTGGCGCCAATGTAATCTAGCAAATTACATCTTTCTTTACTATCAGCCCTTGTAGGGTGACGTGGGGGTGAGGTAAGGGTGTGGACCGGCAGGAAAGGGAAGCACTTGAGAAAGTTTCGAAGGTCATGTGTAGTGGGTTCGACCCACACCTGCCCCTCCAGCAGGCCTGCTAGGATGCCGTTGCCAGCGGGCCTGCTAGGATGCGGTTGTCAGGCAAATGCAGTTAAATTGGTTCTGGTGAAAGGAAAGGTAGGCAGAGGAGGCAGTGAGTAACAGGTTCGTGATGGATCCACTCGGGCCAACGGCGGATCTGATTGAAAACCGTTATGTGCCATCATGTCCATTCGTGGCAGCAACTTTAAAGATCCAACAACTGTGAATGTCGAACAGTTGGCTGCTCTTTGTACAGAAAACTGGTATAGAAGAAACGGTGGTAACAAATTTGGGCGTACAAGCGTTCTTCAGGCCAATGCGCAATGGCAGGTTTGCAAGAATATGCATGTAACCGCCAGAGTTTTTCGGGTTGGCATCTTTTGGAATAAGGCAGTGGTGAGAAGGGGTGAGGAGGGGAGAGGAGGGGTGAGGAGGGGTGATGAGAAGAAGAATCAACCACACTTTATTTCTTGCCCACATCCTTTGCTCAAGAAAAAGGGCGCGTAGATGTAAATAAGCATTAGAATTACGAACAATTTGAGCCCAGATATAAGAACAAGCTGTTGCAGGGTTGAAGACGAAACGCACAGACACTGTCAGGGTGCTTAATGTATTGGATCCAGGTGGGGATCGAGAGGCGGTGGTGGTTCATGCGCCTGTAACTTTGAAGTCAACTTAAAACTCACAGGCTGCTTGATGGATTGGATCCAGGCGGGGATGGAGAGGGTATGGTGGTGCATGCGCACGTAGGCGTTTGAGTTGAGGAAGAAGGCCCACTCGCAGCAACACGCCAGCTGCGCCTGCAGCAACGGCACCTACGGCGGGACATGCACGCCATGGAAGGGAGCAGGGGGTGAGTAGAAGGTCGTTGGCGCTCGTGCGTGCATTGATGAGCGTGAGAGTGGGCAACGGCACCTGGCGGCCATGAGGCCATGCAAGGGGGCAGAGGATCAGGGAAGCAGCAGGGCAGGGGGTGCTGTCAATGAGAGAACATTCTTCCCAAGCGGCCAGAGGTGGTTAGATGCTCACGCGTGCATTGATGAGCGTGAGGAGTCGTGAGGCACACTGCATCCCCTAGTGCATGCGAGCTCACTAGCGGCACCTCTCTGGTGGCAGCTCACTGGCGGCAGCTCACTGGCGGAACCTAACTGGTGGCAGCTCACTGGTGGCAGCTCACTGGTGGCAGCTTAACTCGTGAAAGCTCACTGGTGAGGGTGGGGATGACACTGCAGTTCAGAAGTGCCACACACGGGCAGCAGCAGCACGATATACAGAGAGTATGGGCTGTTCACAGCCACAGTGGAAAGCCGATGCATGGGTGGTGAGGAAAGGCAGGGCGAGTAGTGTGTGGTGCCCCATAGCTTGGGTCGGTCTGAAGTGTACTTGGATCCGTTCTCCACCACCAGTCGGTACCCGTGGCGCCGCGCGTACAACCTGACAGGGAGATGGATGGGATAGAAGGGGAAACTTTGGTTTGACTTGCGTTGACCGCGTTGAACTGTTCTCACCACCAGCCAACCAGCCAATGCTGCGCCTTTCATATGAAGCACTTGTTGAGTTTGGCGTGCCGTGATTGGATGGCGCAGAAAAGAGATGTGGGATCTTCATGTTGCCCTTCTGTGCACGCCATTACCCAATCTAAATGCAACACACGCGCTCAAATTAACCTGGGATTACCATACCGGATGCACATATGGATGCACTGTCACACATACACACAGACATGCACACATTCGCATACACGCTGACACCATTGCAGATGGGCACATACATTGATGACACACAGGCACATGTTCACACAGCAGCACATATATTGACACAGCAGCGCATACGCACATGCTCACACGCACATGCTCACACGCACATGTTCACATGCACATCTTCACATGCACACATGGCATCCTCCACTGGTTACTAAGAGGTGTGCGGTATGTGTTCGAACTAAGCACGTTTGTGTTATATTTTTGCTCATACCTACAACAGCACATGCCCATGCCTACAGCAGCACACACGCGCATGCCTACAGCAGCACACACGCCCATGCCTACAGCAGCACACACGCCCATGCCTACAGCAGCACACACGCCCATGCCTACAGCAGCACACACGCCCATGCCTACAGCAGCACACACGCCCATGCCTACAGCAGCACACACGCCCATGTCTACAACAGCACGCACGCACATGTTGACGGCCAGGGAGACCCAGATGGGGGATTTCCACATGTTCTCGTGGCCCTCTGCGTCCACCACATTGGGGAGTGCCTCATAGAACCGCCGCCACGCCTCCGGCATCGCTTCCCGCATCGCCTCCCCGCCCCTCCCTTCCCCTCCTTCCTTCACCTTCGAGCCCTCATTTTCGTCCTTTCCCTCCCCTTTCCCCTCGTCCTTGCCCTCCGCGTTCCCCTCGCCCTCGCCCTCCCCCTTTCCCCCCTCCGCCTTCTTGCCCTGCTTGTTCAGCCCCACCTCCCACTCGCGTTCCCCTGTGCCCTCCTCTTCTCGTCCCATCAGCCGCCTCCCCCTCAATCCTCCATGCCACCCTATTTTCCACTCTCCTGCCCCTTCCTTCAAAATTCTACTTTTCCCATCCCCCACCCTCTTTCCCACCTCACCCTCCCCCACCTCCCCCTTATCCCGCCCCCCCACAACCCCCCTCCGCCCTTCCTGTCCCCCATTGCCCACCCCAGCCCCTATACCCTCTCTTTCTACTTCCGTTCCCCCTGCCCGTTCTCCCACTACCCCTTCTCCTCCCACCTCCGCCGCCTCCACCCCCAGCTCCTTCAGCAGCCGCGCCACAGCCGCCTCCACGGTGTGCACACCCTCAGGACTTTAGCGCGAGTCGAGAGTCAGAATGCACCCCGGCCGTGGGGGGGGGGGGGGGGGGGGGGTCCTCCCACTCCACTGCTGGCAGCGGCTCCAGTGAGAAGAAATTCCAAAGCTGCAGGCTGTCCAGCCAAGCTTGAGGCTTGGAAACGAACCAAGGATGGCAAGGAGAAGAGAGGTGGGAAGAGTTGAGGTAACAAGAGAATCAGAGAAGAGATTGGAGCGGAATTCAGAGCCGTTGGTGTAGGCAAGCGGCAGCGTGGCAGAGTGAGGGCAGAGCAGAACACAACCTAGAATTGGCATGCTTCGACTCGTTATGCTGACGCGACATGGAAGTAGCTTTATGTGGTGCAAGCAGATTTAAATGCAAGCAGATTTTCAAACAAGCAAATGCAATAAGATATTCACGCAGCAAAGCAGATTGACATGCAATCAAATTTGCACGAAAGCAGATTTACAAGCAAATAGCTTCCACACAAGCAGCGTTACAAGCTGAAACAAAGAACGGCCTAAAACTCCAAAATTGCAACATCCGGAAAGAGGTCCGAATACGCATAAGTATTTTGTAATGAGCCTTTCCAGTACAGATTCACCTCGCCAATAGTCGGTTCTGAATAAGCCCTTTCTGAACCTAAGTTCAAACCAAATTTGATTGGCACGGATTCTTTCAAGACTGTCACATCTATGTCACACGGCGCGGAACCCCAATTCCAACCGCTGACACGACCAGAAACTCTAAAATGAAGAAAGTTGATTTGCCAGGAATCCCTCTCCAATCACCAACCTAATCTCAACCTCCAATCCAATCACACGTCTCAGGAAAGAAGCCAGCCACTCCGCCTTATCCCCAATCTCAACCGCAGTCCTCAATACAGTATCTCCCCTCCACAGCCCTCTACAAACTCAGCTTCGCCTTCTTTTACATATCGCATTCCTGCTGGTTCCTTTAATGAGCATTTTCAGCGTAGGACATGAAATCTTTTTCAGAATCGCTGAAAGTCTGAACGTTGTACGGCATACGTATGGACGCGTGCAAAGCGTACGATGTCGTACGGTCGCATTGCGATGCAAACGGCGTCGTATGGATGCAATGCGACGCATACGCCATCTTTAAGACCAAAAAAAAAAAAGGACGGTTGGCAGTCTGGACAAAAAAAAAAAAAAAAAAAAAGTTTCACGCCCTAATATCGAACCGATACTTTTTTTCTCTCCCTCTCGTTCTTCCTATCCCTACCAGTAGTCGCTATCACGGTGAGCGGCAAGAACTTATGATTTTGTGTGTTTTGGCAAAAGCACAATTTTCTTCTTTACCACCAAAAAAATCCCTTCAGGCGCTCGACACTGCAGGTGAGAGCGCCTCTGCAGGCGAGCGCCTCAACACGTGCGCGACCTGCAGGTGTGTGTCTATGCAAGTGCGCGCATCTACATGAGCGCACTCTGAGGTGCGCGCCTCTGCATTATTGTTCTGTGCAGATATTTAAATCTCGAAGACAGTTTCATGTGCCCTATCAACAAGGTGCAGATACGGTAACGTTTAACAACGATGTATCGGTGAAACAAGTGGCTTAGGTGTGTTACTATGTTAGAAGTATTGTAATTTATATTGAGAGCATGGGTTGATTGAGTTTCATTAAAAGATTGTTGTATATGTATGCAATGCGTATTAATTTCACGCGATTCTCTCCAGGCTGTAGAGGTATCTGAGGATCTGTCGCGTACGCGTCTGAATCTGCGTCGCCACTACCCTCAAAATACCATGAAAGGACCCCAATTGGCAGGGTGAGACGCGGCGAGGAGGTGGAACGAGAGTGAGACATCGCGGAAAAGGCAAGGGCAAGGTGTCACGTTGAACGTGACATTCCCTTTTCCGCGAGCCGGACATTGCAAAACCTGCTTTTCTCGCTTTCGTGCCAGCGAGTGGTTGGGTAAAACCAATCGCTTTGGCTTGAAAACCAATCGCTTTGGCCAATGATTTGCGCTTTGGATGCTTTGGGGGCGTCACGTTTGCGTGTTGTCCAGCGCGAGACCGAGATTTTGCGGAAGTCACACCTGATTTCGACACATGGTTGGTGAGTTGTAGGTTTGGCTGAGGCTAGGAAGAACCTGTGAAAATTTCGGCTAGTCGCGAAGCTCCACGCCTGCACGATATGGTTGGTCAAAATCTGCCGCAGACCACAATGGATTGAGAATCCAATATGATTGATAAAATGTTACAAAGTGTACGTGATAGTGTTAGTTGATGTTGCCGTATGTATGTAGAAACTTTGAACGTGATTTTTGTAAGGATTTTACAATCATAAAAAGCATTGGAATTACAACCTCACATAAATACAAACATAAAACTATAATCCAATATGTTGTAAAATTACGTTGGATTTAGGTAAATATCGAGTTGTAATTGGGGCATAAAAACACACGTGATACCCTATGTAACAAAATTGTTGAAGAATTACACAACGTTGCTACAGTTTAGGGTACCTTCGATCTTTAGACTCCAGTATAGAAAATCGGAGAGGCATTGCCTTTTGGAGATTTTTTGGGACTAGTGTTGTAACTGTCTGAGAGAATGACTGTACATATAGGAAACATAGCACGTTGGGTTCATCTTGGCCGTTAAATCCTATCTGCACAGTGAAACTGCCAGGAGCCCATCTACAGACAGATCGCGCGTGGACCCTGGCAGGGAAAGATCGTCCAACTGTGGATCGAGTCTGTCCAGGTGCACACAAAGTGGATGAATTCGGCGGTTGCAGGCGAATGAATGTTTGCCAGCGCGAAACATTTCAGGTAGGTGTACCACTTCGCTTCTGCTTTTCGCACCGCGGAAATTCTGGCGCGTCAGGTGTTTCCGCGTGTGATACTGTACAATATCGCACACACGTGAGATGAAGGGGGATGTACAGTTGGGCGGGGGAACTGGCTCGCACTCCAGGTTCCAGCTGCCAAATTGCCCAGTCTGCCCCATATGGCTGACGCGTGACAACTTTTCGCCTTGATTTATTCTGGACCAATGGGAAAGACGCGGGGAAGATCTAATCGGGGCTGAGTTAATCCCAACCATGAAACAATTCAGATGGAATATACAGTGTGACACGTGGCACAAAATTTGCCGTGCGAGATTTTGTGTCAATGAATTTGCCCATCCTACCCTTGGTCGTCCAGAAATGTTGGACACCGTCGGGCACTTCCTGCGTATTTCCAAATTCTTGCCGGTGAAGTACGGTTTACCATGTTTCAAACAGCTGAACAAACGTTTTGTAACTGTTGGGTTAGGTTACAAAGTTTTTGAAAAGGTTAAAGATTTCTCCCCCCCAACCCACCCATTCGAGGGGGTACCCAGGCATGACAGTCATTTCTCGATCCAAACTTGTGAGTTAACAAGTTTTGACTTAGTAACTACTAGCCCTCCTCCCCTCTGCTCCTAGCCTACACACTTTTAGATTCTGCAATATCGTCAAGGGGCTCACGTGTTGTTGGAGCACGCAATCTTGATCCTTCAAAATGTTGGAAACAGTAAATCTTAAGCACCCCTGTCGTGTCGAAACATCGCACCAGAAGCGAAGCGAACCATATTGAGGCACACGCGAGTCAACCCTCGGAGGTTGAAAGAGGTTGCTGGAGGTTACGCGAAAGTCAAAGGTCAGCGACCTTTGACCTGACAAGTACAGCGCGACAGCAAGGACACACAACTGACTCGCTACAGAGCAGTTGCCCGAGTCGTCACTGTATCGAACCGCAACAGCAACATTAAGGGAGTTATAACCGTATCCTTTCATATTCCTTGTACTCATATATAAATGCTTGTATCTCTTTGCTTTAATCAACTTACTTTGCCCTCACACACTAGCGCAAGGTGGTTCACAACTTCTTCATTAATGCTTCCGCTATTACAACGTTACTCTACCCCGAGTTCACCCTTGCAAAAGATCCTAAGGGCTTTTTCTCAGCCCAACATGGTATGAGAGCTCACAAGGGGAACTCAACTGCTATCAAGACACTGTCAACATTACAAGACATGGCAACAAACAAGGAGAGGAGCTCCTCTCACGGCTCCCAGGGTACTACTCCTACTCCACCTCCTGCCTCTGGCCTGCAGACAGAGGAGGGCACGGCAACAAGACCAAGAGCGACGTCTACTGAGACTCACGCAAATCATCCTGCGGACTTCGACCAGAGCATGATGGAGAAGTTCTTCTCCTTCATGTCGTTCTCAGTATCAACAATCGGCACCTGCGCAGTCACACAACAGCAACAACAACAGAGCGACCCCAATGAGTCTTGACGGGTCATCATATGCACGCGGAAACCAACAGCAGCAACCTACCTTTGCTCCGTACGAGCGCGGGTCCATCAGCTTCATGCCACACTCGCAACCTACACCTGGACGAGAGAGACCACTGGACGCATTACAAGTTCAATCACAGTTCGCGCACGTTCTGAAGCTGCAAACGTCAAGGCCCTTTGATGGAAAAGACTTCTTCACCTGGTCGTTCGAATTCGAGCTGATGATGGAAGGCGCGCAAATCCTCGGCTTCTTCGACGGGTCCCTGCCATACCCAGCAAACAGCACGCAGTACGAGAAGCAGCAGTACACCTATCAGTCAATGATGGCGTACACGATCCTACTGAGGAACGTCACACCAACACAGCAGCAGAACATACTGTTAAACTGTATTATGCTTGTAGGCTGTAGTGGGGTAGCCAATATGGGGTACAACCCCAACTAGGGTTTCATATTTGTACCCAAACTTCTGCTAGTTGCATCATTCTTGCCTAGTGATTCTGAAATGGTATTCAGAGCAGGAGGTCCCTAGGACCTACCGACCGTTTTTTTAGGGCCCACCACCGCTCGCATGCGGTTACCACGCTACCCCGTGCCCTAGCCTCGTAGCGCCCTCGTGCGCCCACGTTAGCGCCCTCGCGCGCCCCTCGTTAGCGCCCTCGCGCGCACCCTCGTTAGCGCCCTCGCGCGCCCCTTCGTTAGCGCCCTCGCGCGCCCCTTCGTTAGCGCCCTCGCGCGCCCCTTGCTAGCGCCCTCGCGCGCCCCTCACTAGCGCCCTCGCGCGCCCCTCACCGAGCCGCCCGCTCGCAGCCCGCCCGCCCGCTCGCTGCCCGCTTCGCGGCCCGCTCACTACGCAGCCCGCCCGCCCGCTCGCTGCCCGCTTCGCGGCCCGCTCGCTCGCTGCCCGCTTCGCGGCCCGCTCGCTACGCAGCCCGCTCGCTCGCTGCCCGCGTCGCGACCTGCTCACTACGCAGCCCGCCCGCTCGCTCGCTGCCCGCTTCGCGGCCCGCCCGCTTCGCAGCCCGCTCGCTCGCTGCCCGCTTCGCGGCCCGCCACTTTGCAGCCCGCCCGCCCGCTCGCTGCCCACTTCGCGGCCCGCTCGCATCGCAGCCCGCTCGTCCCGCTGCCCGCTTCGCAGCCCGCCCGCCCGCCCGTTGCCCGCTTTACGGCCCGCCCGCCGCGCAGCGTCGCCCGCCCGCCGTGCTGCCCGCTTGCAGCGCCGCCTGCCCGCCGCGCTGCCCGCTTCCCGGCCCGTCCGCCGCGCTGCCCGCTCGCAGCGTCGCCCTCCCGTCGCACTGACCGCTTGCAGCGCCGCCTGCCCGTAGCGCCAGCCTCGCCCGCTGCTCTCTATCCGTGCACAGTCGCCTTCCCCTGCTGCGGCAGCTTGCGTTACTCTGTCACACTGTCGCTATGGCTTCCATTCGCGTGCTGTCGTTCGATGCTGAGGGCCGCCCTGTGCGTTTCACCGCTTGGCTAGATGACCTGCAGCTGTTCCTCCTGAGCGATAGCAAGGAGCATGTGTCGCTCTATGACTACGCGTCTGGTGCTGCGCCTGCCCCTCCTGCCACAGCTGAGCTTAGTGTTCGTTCCCACTGGCAGACTCGTGACGCAGCTGCTCGCCTAGCCATTCGCAGTCACCTGCCGTTAGCTGAGCTAGAGCATTTTGGCGACTGCAAATCCGCTAAGGCCCTGTACGACGCTGTCGTCGCTCGCTACTCCTCGCCTGCCACAGCCGAGCTTAGCCGCCTCATGCTGCCGTACCTGTTCCCCGATCTGTCCACCTTTACTACAGTCGCCGATCTTATCACCCACCTGCGCACTAGTGA